TCTCCTCCCCCACCCCCCTTGCACGTGTCACAACGTTTTACTTTGTTGCATATCTCATATTTTTTGTTGAAAATGGAACATTTTTGATAATATATTGTAGCAACTCTGGCTACTGATTTTTCTTCAGGCTTGTTGCTGTTATTTCGTGTTTATTTGTTTAATAATTTGGCTGAAATGTTGTAGTGAAGTCTATTTCTCAAGAAGTTTGAAGCCTCTGATGTCATTCTTGAAAGGGTACAGCATTTGTCATGGGCAGTCACCTGGGATGACTGGTTTTAGCAGGGCTCTCTTTGACTATTTCCTTGATGTCATACCCAGTTGTTGGGCTCCACTAATTGCTGGCCAATTACTTTATTGTTTTTAATAATGTCCTTGTACATACATTATTCCACAGTTGGGTTCAATGAAATTTGGGTCACTTCACCAGGCTAATCTTTGAGGGTTCTTTCCTAACTCCAGAAAGGCTCATCTTGGTGGTTATCTCTTTACCTAGTTCTCTTTGGCAATCCAGCAACCAATGTCCTCTTAACTGTTTACAACCAAAATCTCCATCATTCTTTAGAATGCCTTAGGATTAAATTCCCCCACATTCTGTTCCAAATAAATTCACTTTAAGGGGGGGGGGTTGGAGAGCTTCAACATCCTACATTTTTTGGGCTTCTTCTCATTCTAGATAAAACCTCAGCCACCGCTTTGGATCTGGGAGCAGAGGCAATGATCCACCTCTCTTAGAGAACCATTCTTGCCCTACCCAGTTTGGCTCAGTGAATAGAGTGTTGGCCTGCAGATTGAAGGGTCCTGGGTTCGATACTGGTCAAGGGCATCTGCCAGAGTTGCGGGCTCAATCTCCAGTGGGGGGCATGCAGGAGGCAACCGATCAGTGACTCTCTCTCTCATCATTGATGTTTCTATCTCTCTCTCCCTCTCCCTTCCTCTCTGAAATCTCTCTCTCTCTCTCTCTCTCTCTCTCTCTCTCTCTCTCTCTCTCTCTCTCTCTCTCTCTCTCTCTCTCTCTCTCTCTCTCTCTCTCTCTCTCTCTCTCCACTGGGCAGGGGCCTCTGATCTTCTTAGCTTGCCTTTCCCATGTGGAATACCCCCTCTATGATCAGAATGTGGTGAGAGTAATTATCTGACTCCTTTACCTGGGATAGAACCAGTGGGGCTCTGAGTGGGGCTGGGTGCAGGAAAGGAGCCCCTGACCCCTTGGCCACCTTTGCCTAGAAATTAGCCTCTGCAACAGGCAGCTAGGGAGGCTGAGCAGTGTTGGTGTCTGCTCATGCCAGGAAGATACTAAAGCAGCTGATTGGCAGCTTGGGGGAGAGGATCTCTCTCTGGAGCGAAGCTTCTATCATGCTGATCTGGGGGTAGAGGGGCAAGGGAGGGAGTAGATCATGACTTAAGTGACATAGGCTCTTATTGTTCTTGTCAAGATTTAGTGGATTTTCTTGAATAAATATTTTTTCATTTGTTGCATTCCCTTAGGCCCTTGGTCGGCAAACTGCGACTCGCGAGCCACATGCAAGTCTTTGGCCCCTTGAGTGTGGCTCTTCCCAGGCCTTTGGAGTACCCTAATTAAGTTAATAACAATGTACCTACCTATATAGTTTAAGTTTAAAAAATTTGGCTCTCAAAAGAAATTTCAATCGTACTGTTGATATTTGGCTCTGTTGACTAATGAGTTTGCCGACCACTGCCTTAGGCAGTTTACAGAGATTTTATTTTTTTACTTATTTTTTTTCAGAGATTTTAAATCCTTGTTGATTTTTACCAGTTAAGGTTATTTTGTTGGGAAGTGAGGTTGCAAAGCTCCTTCTACTGCTATCCTGGAAGTCCTCTCTCTCTATCTTTAAGTGGAACTGATTAGGAAAAAGGAAACAAATTTGTATAAATGCAAAACATTAGGACAAACCTGAATCTCACCAACTTGGCTATTAGTCTATTGGTATATAATAATTATCACTATTTGTAGCTCACTAACTGCAAACTTGCTTCATTTGTGTTGTAATTCATTAATCAAATAATATGTTGAGTGATGAGGGGCTAGTGTGATTTGAAATTTTAGAAAAACTCCAAGATTTAGATCAGTGGTTCTCAGCCTTCCTAATGCTGCAACCATTTAATACAGTTCCTCATGTTGTGGTGACCCCCCATTTCATTGTTACAAATTGAACATAATTTAAGCATAGTGATTAATCACAAAAACAATATGTAATTATATAAGTGTTTTCCGATGGTCTTAGGCGACCCCTGTGAAAGGGTCATTCGACCCCCAAAGGGGTAGCGACCCACAGGTTGAGAACCGCTGATTTAGTTGATCAAGTTGCAGTGTAGATTCAAAAAATCACTTTAGGGGATTGAGGAATTGGTGGCTATATGCATTTTTTAGAATGCAGATATTTTAGTATCTTAAATGTCACTGGGCTTCTCTACTCATTGTCTGGGTAGGTTTTAATATATCTGCTGTGCACCATGTCTTGTGCTTGAAGGACTGGCATACTAAGAAATAATTTTATCTTATAGAACACGTAGTCTCTGATTTAATTAACAAAGAAGTATTTATAGAGCCCAGAAAGCCACTGTGCTGAAAGGCAAATGTTTTACAAGATACCTGTCTCCAAGGAGATAATAATCAGGCTGGTAATACATTCTCTAAACACATGAAAAAACAACTTCTAACTCAAGACAGTGTCGTGGAATGACAGATGAGCAGTACAGAGGGAATCAGAGGAGGGTCAGAGCCTTTAGGATTAGAGTCATATGGTTTAGTGAAAACGGTGGCTTAAAACAATAGCCGTGTGTATTTTTTCTTTTTCTTTTAAATCTTCCCTTTGGGCAGGGCTCTGCCAGGAAGGCTTGTCTCTGTTCTGTGCAGTGTTAGCTGGGGCGTAGCTGGTGGTTGATGGTGATTGACTAAGAACTGGAGGACTGCCTTTCTCATGTGACCAGTAAGGTGGTGCTGGCTTTGGCTAGAAGCTCTGCTGGGGCTGAAGGCCAGTGAGAGGGCCCTGAGATGGCAAGGAAAATGAGGACGTAGGCGTATTGTTGGGATGGCCTATATTAGAGTCCAAGAATATTAGAGTTTTGGGGAAGAAATCAAATTGCAAAAAGATGAGGAAATGGGGGAATTAAAGCCTATTCATCTCTAATCCAGAAAGTAAACAGTAAAAGGCAACAGAAAAATCTGTTGGTACCCAGAGATGATTTAATCAAATAAAAGTTTTCTCTCAAGTTAGAAGAGATCAAATTATCATAGGAAAGAGAAAGAGAAAAGTCTAGTATGTGACCTGCATTAGACTGGATTGCGAATAGTATTGCCTTTGAGTAATCTACTTGGAAGTGCTAAAGCATTTCTTGGGCTCTCCTGGGGTCTTGCTTTGTTTAGATGCTCCTGTGCTCCAAGAAGAGGGAGTCTAAGACTTTTGCCGCATTTCACATTTATACAAACCCGAATCCAGTACTTCTAGAAGAACATTGTTCCTTAGCCCTGTCTCCTTAGGGAGTAGTCCCCTTTGGAGATTAAGAGAAGGCTGAGTACTTTCTGGCCTCAAGCGAAGTAAGACAGGGCTGAGGGGGCAGCCAAAAGTATGACTGAGTAGAAATTTGCAAAGAAATCACAAATTTCCTCCAAAGAGCTGTGTGGCTTTTATTTATAATCGCCTCGTGGGCAGCCAAAGCTACCTGAGCCTGGAAAGCCCATGAAGGACTATGTGGATGATTTGCCACCAGGGAGTCTCAAGGCTAGGAGGGAAGGCAGGGTTGGCAAGGAGGCAACTTCGGGGAGCTACAATGGAGAGCCACTACTTGTGAGAGCAACTGCTGCTGCGGGGAGTCCCTGCTGGAGAAGGTCCGGGGTATGGTGTTCATGGAACCAGCTTCAGTTGCTGACAGTCAGCGCTGATGGAAGCAGACTCAGCTTGGCTTTTCCTAGCGGTACTGCCACCTTGACCGATAGAGACTGCTGGGAGGCACTGAGAGGAAACTCTCCAGGGAGCCGAATTCAGATGAAAAAATAGGGCGCATTCTTTGGAGGCCAGTGGCCCAAGCTGCCCTGCTAGCAAGCACTGGCCTTAACACTGATGGGGAGAGTAGGATGACATTTCATAGACTCCAAGTGCGAGGCAGGTCGTGTAGTGGAAAGAGCGTGAGCCTTGGAGCCTATTGGAGATGGGTTTGTATTCGTGCTCTGGTGCTTACCATTGGTGATTTGTCTCAATTTCCTTGCCACCAACATTGAGAAAAAGCTTAGTATGCGAGGGAGAGGGCTGAATGAGATAATATATGCAGTAGCACCTGGCATATTGCAGATCATCAAAATGTGATAGCCCATAGTGTTCTTTCCTGTCTGGACCCCATGTGAAATGGGAAGCCATGAAACTCAAAGGCATCCGGCCAATTATTGAGTCTGTGAATTATATCCTGTGCCTTATGTTCCTATGGGGATAACCTAGGAGAGTGTAGTTTGGGAAAATCGTTAAATCAAATATGAGAAGCCAGCCTTGTTCCCATGAGAGCCAGGACACTGTTACATGGAGATGAACTTGCAACTGATCCTAGAAACTTCATGTGCTTTAGAGACCAGCATGGCCATTCTATGTATTTCTATTGATGACCCTGCTGAAAGGATTGTAGTCACAAAGGATTTCCTTTCTGGAAAAGGTTTTCTTTTCCTTTTTAAAAAATATATCTTTATTAATTTCAGAAAGAAAAGGAGAGGGAGAGAGAGACAGAAACATCAATGATGAGAGAGAGTCATTGATCGGCTGCCTCCTTCATGCCCCCCACTGGGGACTGAGCCCACAACCCGGGCATGTGCCCTGACCAGGAATCGAACTGTGACTTCCTGGTTCACAGGCCAACGCTCAACCACTGAGCCACGCCAGCTGGGCTGGAAAAGGTTCCAACATAAGTTTTCTCCACCGCAGACTCCGCTTGCATAGAAAAGATGCAAGCCAGATTTCTCGTTTAAAAACGCACTGCTTGATTAATTTCCCCTTGCCCCGCTCTACATGCAATCGCTAGATGACTTGGGTGTCACTTTGCAACTCAAACTCTGAGGCTTCCAAAGGTGCTTCTTGATTTGACGTTCCAGGTGGCTGAGAAGAAATGGACAGTAAGCGATTGTTTGTGGCTTTGAAAGGTCACGATCCACTTCCTCCAGCATGTTAGAGAATGCCAATCTGAACCTGAACTTTAAGCCTCATATTTTGCTGATTATAGATGCAAAGCATGTGACAGTGGCAAGTGTCTTATTTTCATGCAAATCCAATGCTCAATTAGGTCAGGGCTCAAGGCTGCTGGGAACCTCTGTGATTGGCGGTTCAGAGGTGTATTTGTTTTAGTCCTACTTGACCTTTTCCACATAACTGGAGCATCAGCGGAGAATGAACAATTTGACTGGTGGATAAAGGGGAAGGTAATTCCCCCCTTTACGTATAACCATTCACACACTTGGAGTTCTCTAAATATGTCATTCTTTCACAACTCAAATTTGGCACATAATTTATTTACTAAGGATAAAATAACTGACACATTTCATGAAAATATTGCAGGAGTTATGGACATGAGCATTTGAAACATTGCAATACAATAAAAATTTATAACGTTAAAAGGTAATGATATTTTTGGTGTAGCATCAAATCATTAATCCAATATGGAACAGTTTTGAACATTATGAAATAGATTTGCATGTAGAGTTTGGTACAGATAAAATACAATTTAAATGTTTTTCACCTGTACTGCATCATTAATACACTCAAGTTTAATGACATAGATGCACATGTGTTGTGTTTTTTTTTTAACTAACAAATATTTATTAAGAATCTATTTTGTGCCAAGCCCCGAAGAAGCACTGCGTTTTAAGGTCTCATTATAGCTAGGTGTACAGACCACAAATTATGTACACACATAAAATAATTACAGAATGCTACATGTGTTATAAAGGAAATAGTGTTCAGGAATGGTAGCATTTATGTGGTGATTACTCTAGACAGAACAGACAGGGAAGGACTCCCTAGGATTTAAGTGAAGTGACATTTAAGCTGAGACCTAAGGAATGGGAAGCCAGGTATCTGGAGAGCAGCAGGAAGGGCCTCTTAGGCAGAGGAAAAGCAGGCACAGAACCCCTGCAAGGGGAAAGAGCGTGGCATGGCGCAGAAACTCAACACGGCATGACAGGAGAAGCGTGAGCAGGGCGGAGAGCAGGATGATGCCAAGCGTATTTCTGAGTATCCCTGTGTGAGACAGGAGAACAACTGTTTAGGCAGGCCAACAGAGGCAGCAAGTGACAAACTGGGCATGGAATCCTGGTTTTCTAATTGTAAATTATCCTAAGGACAGGGACATGAGGGGAAGGAGGGACAGAGGATGCAGAAGTCACTGTGCTTGGCCCCTTGAAACTTGCAGTAATGCTGCATGTGGGTTTACTATATTCCATATATATATATGATTTCAGAGAGGAAAGGAGAGGGAGAGAGAGATAGAAACATCAATGATGAGAGGGAATCATTGAGAGGCTGCCTCCTGCACGCCCCCTACTGGGGATCGAGTCTGCAACCCGGGCATGTGCCTTGGCTGGAATCAAACCCAGGACCCTTCAGTCCACAGGCCAACGCTCTATCCACTGAGCCAACCCAGCTAGGGCTACGATATTCCTTCTTATCAATTGATGTATCCACAAGAGTAGCGACAAAGTTCTAGTATGATAAACACGAGAAAAATGAGGCAAACCAGAGTAGAAATGAGCATTTAAAAAAAGTCACTACAAGGAAGGCAAAGGTAGAACATCACGTTTTAGTCACAATACTGATTTGACTTCCTCAACTTCATTGACTGCTGGAAACTATTTGGGAATCTTTTAGTTACTAACTGTATCATTTAGCTTGTAAAACACAAGCAAATTGGCATATACCTAGGAGTCCTGGCTTCTGTATTCCTGGGTATTTTGTGTTGACTTTGAAGCAGAATTATTTTTAATCTGAGATGTAGCAGATGCTTCTAGAAATGGTTCCCGTGGCAGGAGGGAAGTAGTGTTATCGCTTGACATGCGATATCACAATTACTAAGAATCTCCTCTGGGGCCAAGTGGGATGGGATACTGGCAGTCACAAACTTGCTCACACTTGAGAGGCATGGTACCAAGAGCAATTATAAGGACTGTGGAGTTGGCAGGCTCAGCTTCATCAACCACTAATTCAGGGCATAATATGCTACCCCAAAGGCCTCCCTCGTGGCTCTTCAAGAGACCACCCCCTCTGCTATGGGCTCAAGAAGCAGATTGGGCTGAAAATCAGGCTCAGGACCTGATTGTGAGTCAAATGACAGAGAAGGATGAATATGCAGCCCCATCAGATCTCGTATGGAAAGTCAGGGCCTTGACAGGGTAAGCATAGGACCCTGAAACCTGGGGTGGGGGCATCCAGATGGAAGGTTTGAGAACCCCAAGTCTTCAGAATCTCTTAAACCCTCTGGGCCATCAGAAGTGGACCGTTGTTCCTCACCTAAAAAATATTACAGAGCCTTCCCTTGAGGCCCATGTCTTGTAAGATGGTAACGTTCCCTCCTCAAGTTTTGCTCCCACCTCCCTGACAATGTCCAGGTCCATAACCGGGATCAGCTCCCCAGATTGCCCGCCTGGTAAACTACCACTGTGAGGATGAAAAGAAAACATATACATGTTTTTATATCGTTGACCTAACAAGCGAGCACACGGGTGTAAGATGAAACAATGCAAATGTATTATTTTACGTGTCTGCGCGTCAGAAGTCTGACAGGGTCTCCCTGGGCTAAAGTCAAGGTGTGGCCAGGCTGCCTTCCTTCCTGGAGGCTCTGAGGCAGACTCCCTTCCCTTGCCTTTTCTGGCTTTGAGGACACCCCCGTTCCTTGACTCGTGGCCCCTCCTGCATCTCCAGAGCCAGCGATGGCAGGTTGGGTCTTTCTCACATCACATCTCTCTGGTCTTGTGCCGTCCTCCTAACACATAGAAGAACCCTTATTCTTACAGTGCCCCCCCTCCCCAGATCATAGGATAATCTCCCCATTTTAAGGTTAGCTGGTCAGCAACCTGAATTCCCTCTGTGACCTGAACGCCCACTTGCCATGTAATGTAGCAAATAGTCAGGGCGTAGGCCCCAGGGATCAGAATGCGGACATTTTTGGGAGGCCAGTATTATCCTGCCTCCCTCAGTGTGTGAAGATGCTCGCACATGCTCAGTAAATGCTCATTATTACTCCCAGCTCCTATCCTGGGCTTCTGCCTGCAGGTAGAAAACCGCCACAACCACGTGAACCAGAGGCACCTTAAACCCAGCGTCCTCCCATCCTTAGAGATAGTCTCCTTTTCTACTTCTTTCTCTGAAGTCCCCAAACTACCACTTTCCTCCAGCAGTCAGGGCGTAGGCCCCAGGGCTCAGGATGCGGACATTTTGGGGAGGCCAGTATTATCCTGCCTCCTTCAGTGTGTGAAGATGCTCGCACATGCTCAGTAAATGCTCATTATTACTCCCAGCTCCTATCCTGGGCTTCTGCCTGCAGGTAGAAAACCACCACAACCACGTGAACCAGAGGCACTTTAAACCCAGCGTCCTCCCATCCTTAGTGATAGTCCCCTCTTCCACTTCTTTCTCTGAGGTCCCCAAACTACCGCTTTCCTCCAGTCCCTTCCCAGTCCCTGGGGCCTCACTCTCAGCAGGTGGCTTTGTCGTTACTTCAAACCAAAATCCAAAACCATCTGGATTGAACTACATCAATCTCTGGTGCTTCCACCTACAAAACTTCTCCCTTGAAATTTATCTTTTGTACTTTGGTATTTTTGTTACCAAATGTCCCCTGTGCTCACAACCTTTGGATAAAATGAAATTGCATTTGTCTTTACGACCAAATATCATTGGCTTTAAAATCTCACCCAGTTGACTAGCAAGGTTGCCTTTCCCAAACTTTTTCAGGCTCTCCTGGGATGCTGACACATGCCCATGAATCAGTTATCTTAGAAGGAATAGAAATTCAGATCTTTTGTCTGCCCCACGGAGGCTGACGCCCAGATAGCTTTACCTATCAGGTACATCCAGTCAATCAGGTGCCTCCAGGTTCATTGGAGACCCATCTCCTTAAGGCAGTGGTTCTCAACCTTCCTAATGCCTTTAATACAGTTCCTCATGTTGTGGTGACCCCCAACCATAAAATTATTTTCGTTGCTACTTCATAACTGTAATTTTGCTACTGTTATGAATCGTAATGTAAATATCTGATATGCAGGATGTATTTTCATTGTTACAAATGGAACATAATTAAAGCATAGTGATTAATCACAAAAACAATATGTAATTATTTATGTGTTTTTCGATGGTCTTAGGCGACCTCTGTGAGTCGTTCGACCTCCAAAGGGGTCGCGACCCACAGGTTGAAAACCCCTGCTCTAGAAAGTGAAGTAACGTTTTCTAACAAATGTTGCTAGTATCATTCTACTCTGCAGAGACATAACAACAAAGCAAAACTAACTTTGTGAGCCAGTTAATGTATATGCATAAGCAATTTGATGTAAAGTAACTTTTAAAATGCAGGTTCCAATTTCTGTATCCAAATGCTTCCATTGCTCAACGCATTTTTGTAACTCCATTTATGAAAATGTCCTCATATTCGTGTAGTGCTTATGTGGCTCTGAATGTCCACATTGTGGTTTTTTGGGACGGATGGCTGACTAAAAGCGCTGGAAGTACAGAACAAGGTCAGGTTTGCAAAATACTTAACTGTAGCCTCCACTAAAAAAAAAAAAAAGTTCCTCTGAATGACAATGAGATTTGGTAACTTCTTATATTTCCTATTCATGTCAGGAACTCATGGAAGAGTAGATAGCTTTATCCCCTACTGCTGTAACCCCCCCACCCCACCCTACTGTAAAATTATCATGGTCTCCTGGGATGGCTGCTCTGTCTTACATGTAAGGGGCATATGTTTTATTGGTGGATGAAGGGATGCATCCGCAGGCTGAATACACTTTTGCAGAGTTCTTGGCATAAGAGATGTTATACAAACAAGAGAAGATACATGGAAAAAATGGCAACACACAAGTGCAGCTTCCTTTGGAGCTTTTCAAATCTAGGATATACTGTGATAGGAAAAAGAGAATTCAGTAGGATCGGTTCTACCTATTTACGGGGTCATCCTTTTCTGTACCAGCCAAATCGAGTCCTCTATCCGCACGGGACTGGATTGTTGGGGAGCACAAGAGACTTGGTTGGAAAGTTGTGAGGAGGACAGTCTGAGAAAAGGGAAGTGTGTAGAAGGCCGCCTGCCCTGTTTATCGGAATCCCAACTTAGGGGAGACTGCAGGCGCCTTCGACACTCCCCTATTAGTCCTTGACCTTCCCAAACAAGCCTGTGCACGTGCAGATCCCCAGGTGTTTACTGGAATCCTTATGCTTAATTCCTGGATGCCCTTGCCTAGAGGACAATGTAAACACATGTGAATTCCCACAATTACTCACCCACTGATGGTATCTAAAGATAAAAATTCCAATAAAGCCTAAGGAGGCAGGCAATCGAGGCTGCCCTGGCCACTAGAGCTGGGGGCCCCTCAGCCCTCTCTCTCACAGTCACACTGTGTCTGAGTAATCTGTTCATCCGTTGTTCAGGGGCTGCTGGTCAGCCCCGGCACTGGATGGCTTCAGAGAAGAGTGGGAGCATATTTGGGTCACCTGTGGAGTAAGTCATGTTTTTTTAACTTAGCATCGCAGGATGGAAACTGTCCCAGCTTTCTCTGTCAGTACAGGAAGCGTTCAATAAATATTTGGTGAAATAGATCCAGGTCAGGTTATGTCCCCAATGCTGGGAAACAAAGATAAATAAGACACATCCGCCCAGTTTGGCAAAAAAAATCAGCAAAGCTAATAAAAGGGATAATGAAATATGATAGAAGCAAGGTGCTATGGGAACCTACTAAAGGGTAAGATTAATTATAAGGTGGGGTCCAGGGAGGATTCAGAGAAAGACTCAGTAGGCAGGGAAGTTAGGGGAGAAGGGAGAGGAGGGGGCACCTAGGAAATATCTATGAGGTTTCAGTGAGCGAGAGCACTGAGTGTGTCCATGGGACTCTCCGAAGCGTGATTTAAATGAAGCAAGAAGATGCTGGAGAGGAGGGGACAATAAACTAGGTCAGAAAAAGTAGGCTGAGGTTGGATTGTGAAAAGTATCATAAGTCACACAAAGAAGTTTGAATTGCATTTTCCCCACCAAAAAT